AAAAAAAAAAAATTAGCGAATTTCCAGGAGCTTTTCCAAACTGGAGAAATATTTCTGAATGCAGACGTAGAATATTAGGATGCTTGAAAGCCCAGTCTCACCGAGTGAAAACACCTGAAAACAGGGCAAGTTAAAGGCCCAAGGCTGCACTAAACGTGGTGTGGGCTGCAGAGCCTGCCCCCGCCGGCCTTGCCCTCGAGCGGCCCTCAGTCTGGCCTCTGAACGGCTCGGTGGCGACGAAAGGCAGCCCGTGCCACGCCTCCCAGAGACGTGAGGGCCGCCGCGTCCCTAAAAAGTCTTGGCTCCGTCCGACCCCAGGCTGCCAACCAGGTGTCCCGAGTCTGGGCTGGGAGCCCCCGTCCAGGGCCGGTGCGTTACCTGCAGCAGGTGCAGCTGGGCCACGAGGCGCCGCGGCAAGTGGAGGAAGCAGTCGCGAGCGTTGGTGAAGACCACAGTTACCGCTACCCCACCACCCTCCGCACCCGCTAGGCGATCGCTGCCCCACATTGTGGACGAGCGAGGAGCAGCCCCCAGCCGTCCACTCAAGCGGACGGGGGCCACTGGGCAGACCGAGGGCGTCGGAGCCAGAGAAGATCGATCGGCCCCGCCCCCCTCGCCGCGCGCCCCCGGACGAGGAGGGGCGAGCAAGCTGCTCCAGCTCTCCGAGGTCTCTCCGCCAGGCCGCTGGAGGGCGGCACCTCGTTCACCGAAGACTCACTCACAGGAAACGATGCCCGACGCTGTCGATTCTCCAGCCAATCCCGGCACGCCTTGACCCATCTTCCTCTCTTACTGGGTGAACAGGAACGCGGCGAGCCGGATGTTGTCATTTTTGCAAGGGCCAAAATAGGCAAGATGGCGTCGAGCGGCGGGGAGCTTGGAGGCGTATTTGACCACCACGTCCAGAGGGCTGTATGCGACACGCGGGCCAAGTATCGGGAGGGGCGGCGGCCTCGTGCTGTCAAGGTAAAGTGATTTTGGTTTCATTCGCTATTCCTGATAGCTTTTTCTTAGCTCTAGCTCCACATGCCCAGTTTATGTAAATAGAGGCTTGAAGGGCTGCGGTCCTGTCCATCAGTCATTGGAGATGGGTATGAGAAACCGGTACTCAGTGACCAAAGATTCTCACGAACCCTTTGGTCAACTGCTATAACGTCAGCTCCGGAAGGACAGGGCTTTGTTTTAGTCATTGTATCTTCCGTGTTTACAGTGGTGCTTGGCGCATGGTAAGCACTCAGTGTATCTTTGTTCTCTCTCTCTAGTAACTTCTTCTGAGCCAACTTCTGCAAAATATGTCGACTGAAGATAGTCTGTGTTTTAATTAGAGGCCCTCACACGGAGGGGTGAATTTATTCTTTATTTTTTCTGCAGACCGGCTGAACGGAATGTTTCTTCTTTTCAGAGCTTTTAAGTTTTTAATTTTAATTCCAGTATAGTTAACATACAGTGTTATATTAGTTTCAGGTACAGTGTAATGATTCAGCAGTTCTGTACATTACTTAGTGCTCAGCATAAGTGTAGTCTTTAATCCCCAGAGCTTTTTTTTTTTAATAGAAGATATGTCTTACAATTATCATATGGTTTCACTTATTTGTGGAACATAAGGAATAGCATGGAGGACATTAGGAGAAGGAAGGGAAAAACGAAGGGGGTGAAATCAGAGGGCAAGACGAACCGTGAGAGACTATGGACTCCGGAAACAAACTGAGGGTTTTAGAGGGGAGGGAGGTGGGGCGATGGGTTAGCCCGGTGATGGGTATTAAGGAGGGCACGTATTACATGGAGCACTGGGTGTTATATGCAAACAATGAATCATGGAACACTACATCAAAAACTAATGATGTAATATATGGTGACTAACATAACATAATAAAAAATTATTTAAAAAAAGATATGTCTTAGGTTTATTCGGAAAATACATTTTTATGTGTTTGCATTTCTTTTAGGTATATACAATCAATTTGGAATCTCGGTACTTGTTAATACAAGGAGTTCCTGCAGTGGGAGCAATGAAGGAATTAGTTGAGCGATTTGCTCTATATGGTGCAATTGAACAGTATAATCCTCTAGATGAATACCCAGCAGAAGACTTTACAGAAGTTTATCTTATTAAATTTATGAATTTACAAAGTGCAAGGTAATGTGCAAGTTAAGCATAAGTTTCATTTCCTCCATTCCCATTGCTATCACTTTGGTCCCAGTTGTCCCTCATTCATACCTGAATTACTCAATAACCTAACATGGCCCTGTATTATTTTTATCTTACTCCAGTCTCAAATGTCATTCCCATGCTTAACAGCCTTTGGTCATGTATTGTGGTAGATTAAAAAATGGGTTTGGGGTAAGTTTTCGAATTCCACTGCTTACTAAAATCACGACTTTGGACAAGTTATTTAACCTCAATAAGCCTGTTTTTTCTATTCTATGAAATCTGTATGGTGAAAGAACCTATCTTGGGGGTTGTGTGGGGATGGTATGAGATAACCCATGTAAAGGGGCTAAATGTAGTGCTTCCTATGTTCAGAATGCAGTAAACATTAGCTATTGAAGTTCTTAATGTTATGCACCTTTGTGAATTGACCTAACCTTTTCCAGCTTTCTGTATAACAAATTCTCTGCTTCAGTAAGGCTGAACCATGAAACGCCTTATCTAGTTTTATGTTGACCCTATGCTTGTCACTAATCTGATCCAAGACCCATCCTTCTTTGGCTATTACCATTCATATTTTCTTTTTCTCTCTTTTTTAAGATTTTATTTTTAAGTAATCTCTACACCCAACGTGGGGCTCCAACTTACAACCCCGAAATCAGGAATTGCATGGCCTACCGACATAGCCAGCCAGGCGCCCCACCATTTATATTGTCTTTCTGTACTACAAATAGCACTTGCAGTCTGCCACTTGATTTTATGGGGTCATGTATTGTTCTCAGTTTGCTGTCATATGTAATCTCACTTTCCTTAACCAACTTGCCTGCCCCTCACGGGGCATATTTTCTAGAGCTTTTGCATCTCCCACAGCACGTAGTACAGTAGGCTGTGGAGTTCAACATCTCAGTTTGAATCATAGCTCCACAAACTAGTGTGAGCATGTTATAAATCTCCCTAGGCCTCAGTGTCATCATATGGTTTTTATGAAATGTTAATTCACTTAGGGCACTACCTGGTGCGTGGTAAAATCTCAGTAAGTATTTTTATCATTATCCCTGGGCACAAAAGTACTTAAGTATTTATTGTAGTATAAGGCCTGGCCACTTATATATATTTAATAAGTATTTGTTGAATATCATCTTCTAACTTTCTCATTGATTAATTATGTATTCAGTATTTACTTAATTATTAAAGATTTTACGATTACAGTATTATTTTTATTAATTTTTATGTATGAATCCCATTGTGCCAAAAAGGCTAAATTGGGTATGAGCTAACTCTTAAGGGCCATTTAACACAGAGAGATCTCTATTTCATGACCACAGATTGTGTACCTCAGGTTAACTGCTGGCTCCTAAGCTAATTAAAGGGAGTCTGGTTATGTGTGGATGACTTAGCTCAAAACCTGTTCGCACTGTAGGGAGAGGGGATGAAAGGCGCGAAGAGTGCACACCACATCAGTAGAGTCAGTTCCATCCACAGGTAGAACATCTTAACTGCCAAACAATAGGATGTAGGTACACATAGCAAAACCTGAACTTTGCTCTTTAGATCAATGCATTGTATACTAGTTCAGCTTTCATCCTAAGTAAATCAGGATTAATAAACCATGCTATCATGTATTTCTGTTTAGGACAGCTAAGAGAAAAATGGATGAACAGAGTTTCTTTGGTGGATTGCTTCATGTGTGCTATGCTCCAGAATTTGAAACAGTTGAAGAAACTAGAAAAAAATTACAGGAGAGAAAGGCTTATATAGCAAGAACTACTAAAAATAAAGGTATGGAAAGCCAGTTACTAAACACCTCCTATGTGTCAGGCACTCTGCTAGGTATATCATCATGGAGCTCCCAGTCTAGTGGGAAGAGAGGCAGATAAATGATCACAATATTCAGTAACTGTAAACTGCAGGATTCTGTGCAGCACTCTTAAGTAATCTGGGCTGGAAAGGGAGAGATGTTGGTTTGTGGAAGAGTTCCTACAGGATGAGAAAGATGGCCACTGAGTTTTGAAGGATAAGTAGACATTACTCAGAAGGGGAGAGGAAGTGAGGGGAAGGTAGGCCAAGTGACATGAATAAATGAGCATCATGTGTTTGAAAGAACATGAATAGTACAGGATAACCACAACACAAGGGCTACATGTGAGAAATAAGACTAGAAAAGAGGACAGGAACTGAATCATGAAGGGCCTTGTATCCCATGCTAAGGAATTAAGGCTTGACGTAAAGGCAGTGAGAAACAATTACGATTTATTTGCAGACTAGTTACCAGCTGCCAATCTAAAACTGCTAAATTTGGAAAAATTCTACTTTTTACCAGCAGCTGGCCATGTGCCCCATATTCCCAGCTGAGTTTCCCTAGACACAAATTCCAGGTGCCTGGAATAGGGTCATGGGATCTGGTACAAGGATTGTAGGAACAGAGCACTCAGAATTGGACTAAAATAATGTACGTGGTCTGAAATCTGAGTAATACTGGAGGCTCAGATTGTCAACCTTCTGCCCTTTAGTTGAAAGACAGAGTCAGTGTCCATATAGTTATTGACTATGACGATTTTATGACTGATTGGGGAAGGGTGTGTGGCAGAGGTGAAGAGAGAAATAAGGTGGGAAGACTTTTGGAAAACTTACCTGAAAATTTGGCAAGAGAGCTGTTGAGAGTCCCTCGTCATTAGTAGACATTGAACATTAACCTGTGGGATATGTGAATAGCTCCAGGAAAGCTTTTATGGTTGTGTAACAAATAAAATAACAAAATATGGGTCCAGCATACTTGCCGCCTTTAAAAACTAACAAACACAAACTAAGCAGTATGATATATTCATATAGTAGAATACTCCAAAGCTGTGAAAAAAAAAAAAAGCATTTAATGTAATGACCTAGAAAAAAGCCTGTAAGATCTACAGTTAAGTGGAAAACGCAAAGGCACAGAGAAATGGATATTATGGGAGAAAAAGAGGAGTAGGTGGGAGGAGGAAAAGTAAGACATACTGGGCAGATAAATAAGAAAGTAGGGATTACTTATGGAGGAGTGGAAACCAGGCATATGGGGAGCAAAGAAAGCAAAGCCTGACACTAATAAACCCTTTATCCTTTTTAGCTTTTAAACACATGAAGGTATTGCCAGCTCAAGAAATAAATTTTTGAGGGTAGCATTTGTTAACGTTTTAAAGTAATGTTTGTTCTTAAAATTACACATTTCTGAATGATGGAAACAATAAATGAACTATTTTTTTTTCCTCTTCTCTCACCTTTTAAATTGTAATATAAAGATCATTACATGACAAAGAAGAAAATGGTTACAGAGCTTAAAGACACAAAAGATTTTAGACAGGACTTCCATTCAGGGACATCTGGATTTTGTGCAACCACGCAGAACACTTCTACTGGCAACTCAGATCCTTGTCTTCCTTATTCTTGTGAATTGCCTTTATGTTATTTTTCCTCAAAATGTGCATGTTCATCAGGGGAGCATATGGACAGGGAATCAAACTTCTCTCGGGATGGTAGAAACCATGCTGAAACAGTGGAACATTGTATGTACAATGACTCTTCGCAGAAGATACAAATGAAACCTTTTAAAAATTCGTTGGCTTGCCCTGGTGCACAGAAGGCTGTTACTTCTTCAGAGGCAGTGGACAGATTTATGCCTAGGACAACACAGCTGCAGGAGCGGAAAAGAAGAAGAGAAGATGACCGTAAAATTGGAACTTTTCTCGAAACGAGCACGAGTAGTAATGAGGTTATGATTGGGCCTCTGTTACCAGACATACCTAAAGTGGACATGCATGACGACTCGTTGAATACAACAGCGAATTTAATTCGGAATAAACTTCAAGAGGTAAGATCATTTTTAGAAAACTGTTTTAAAGGGGGCGCCTGGGTGGCTCAGTCGGTTAAGCGTCTGCCTTCGGCTCAGGTCATGATCCCAGGGTCCTGGGATCGAGCCCCGCGTCGGGCTCCCTGCTCGGCGGGAAGCCTGCTTCTCCCTCTCCCACTCCCCCTGCTTGTGTTCCCTCTCTCGCTGTGTCTCTCTCTGTCAAATAAATAAATAAAATCTTTTAAAAAAAAAAACAAAACAACTGTTTTAAGGGCGCCTGAGTGGCTCAGTCGCTTAAGCATCTGCCTTCGGCTCAGGTCATGATCCCAGGGTCCTGGGATTGAGCCCCGCATCGGACTCCTTGCTCAGCGGGAGCCTGCTTCTCCCTCTCCCTGCCTATCTGTCTGCTTGTGATCTCTCTCTCTCTGTCAAATAAACAAAATCTTGAAAAACAAAAAAACAAAAACTGTTTTAAGAGACCGTTTGGTCATAGGACTAACAGCTAAATGGAGATTTGTGGCAACTAAAGTATTGTCATTAATTTTCTTCATTTTCAGTTTTTTGATTTTTCTTTTAAAGATTTATTTATTTATTTATTTATTTGACAGAGAGAGAGAGACAGCAAAAGAGGGAACATAAGCAGGGGGAGTGAGAGAGGGAGGAGCAGGCTTCCCGTTGAGCAGGGAGCCCAATGTGGGGCTCGATCCCAGGACCCTGGGATCATGACCTGAGCCGAAGGCAGACGCTTAACGACTGAGCCACCCAGGCGCCTCGTTGATGTGTTTTTCTACAGTTCTCTGTTGAAGTAACTGAATCTAACAGAAATGTATGTGCTTTGATGTCATTAATCCTTGCTTTAAACAATGAACATATTTTATATCATTCTATATCTAAAATAAAAAGCAGTGGTTTTAGTCAGTGAGGTCAGCCTGTGAGAGTGGAGCCCAGGCCCTCCCTTTTTAAAGCTCTCCAGATGGTTCTATTATGAGCTAAAGTACAGAACTATTGTGTTGAAGGAAAATTATTACAACTTATTTCTCTCAAGTTCAAAGTTATTACAAATTACATCAAATTAAAATGCTTTTTGCTTCTTTGATAAAAATAGCCATAGAATAAGGTGAGATTTCTAAAGACTAGGCCCTAAGGTCTGCATTTCAAAATGTCAACTTCTTAAATAGATTACAGTTTCATTGTGCTACTTAAGTAATAATTTCTTTACATGTTATTTATGTAATCATTTGCCATTTTCTAAGCACAAATGAAAGAAAGCTAACATTTGAATTAGCTTTTGAAAGATACCTTTTTATGGGGCAAGCCTTTTAGAAATCTAATTGAGGGAGAAAGACCATTCTCCTAAACTTTAACTCTGAGGTTCAGAAAGTGCTTTTCATGCAGTTGTATATGTATTTTACAGTGTGATGAAGGGAGTCTAAGGTGGCTTAATTTATGTGTTGTTTTGTTACCTGAAAATTATCTGATTAAGGGTGAGGGCTTATTTTATAATAATAAAAATCTGTGAACACAATTTCCATGCTTAAACCTCTTTAATTTTTTTAGTTTGTGCTGGCCCCCTTCCTTCCTTCAGATATAGTTGAACTGAGGCGTAGATGCAGATACATAGCTCTCTTAGCCAGAGCTGACTATATTTTCAAGAAAAAAGTTGTTAGGGGACATCTAGGTGGCTCAGTTGGTTAGCGTCTGCCTTCAGCTCAGGTCCCAGGGTCCTGGAATCGAGTCCTGCATGGGGCTCCGTGCTCCGTGGGGAGCCTGCTTTTCCCTCTGCCTGCGCGCTTGCCCACACTCTTTCACTCTCACACGTGCTCTTTCTCTCCCTGACAAATCAATAAAAAAATCTCAGGGGAAAAGAAAAAAGTTGTTAGGTCCAAATCCTAGATAAGGAAACAGTAGAACAACAAAATTGAGAAAAACTAACTACAACTTACTACAGTTTCTAATAATTGTACATCTAAATGAAGACTGTCATACTCTGCTTTAACTCATTGTCCACTCTTTTTCTGATGGTGTGTTTGGTTTCCCTTCCCTAGGAAATTGAGTATTATACCATTTTCTGCTTATTTCTCCAAATTTCTCATCTCCCCCCAAGGCTCCATGTCTCTTAAATACATCAGATGTTATTAGTGTTTTGAGTTATGCAGAATCAGGATGTCTATCTGTATCCATCAGATAGCAAGTGACTTCAGATATATAAAGGATTGTTAACGTAGAGTATGTATTTACATTTCCCTCTTCCAATTTTTTTTCTTCTAAATGGCTTTAGAAATTTTACTCTCATCAGTGTTTGGACAGAAAACTGTGCCTAGATCGTAGGCTATACCCTAAAATTGGGCTCACTCTGCCTCAAACATGAGGGCAAGAATTGGACTACTAGATGTATATCCTACCTCTTCTTTTTATTTATTTATTTTTTATTATTATTTTTATTTTTGTATTTTTAGAATTTTTTTTTATTAGTTATATCCTACCTCTTCTAATAGTTTAGTTTACTTATTCTTGTACTATAAAAGCTAATTTTGGTGGTTCTCTTTTTTTTAAAACTAGGTCATTTCATCTGTGCCAAAACCTCCAGAAGACAAGCTGGAAGATGTGCATACAAGTCGTCCATTAAAGCAAAGAAGAAGAATATAGACTGTCAGCAGCAAATTCTGTTTTTTTACAGCACTCTTTATTTTTTATTTTTAGCCTATCATTTTAATTGTTGAAGAGATTCTACTGCTGGTATTTTTTAATGCACTCCTCTTTGTAATATCATTCAAGCTACTTACCTAATAAAATTTCATTTTTTAAAATTAGTTTATCGTGGACAAAATACATGCCAGCCAAATATGTTCCTTAAAAAAAGAAAACTAAACTTTTCCAGGAGCTCTACTCAGTGACTTTGGTTACATCTTTTTGGCTAGAAGTGGGCTCATGGCCGTTGCTAAACTGGGGAGGTCTGGCATTGTGAATGTTAACGTTTCCAACTTCTGTGGATGAGGAAGCAAGAGAAAAGAGGGTTGTGAAAGGCTTATTCACAGTATTTGCCACAAGAACCAAGCTTGTTGGCTAACTTAAAAAATAAAATTAGGGGCGCCTGGGTGGCTCAGTCGTTAAGCATCTGCCTTTGGCTCAGGTCATGGTCCCGGGATCCTGGGATCAAGCCCCGCATCGGGCTCCCTGCTAAGTGGGAAGCCTGCTTCTCCCTCTGCCTGCCGCTCCCCCTGCTTGTGTTCCCTCTCTCACTGTGTCTCTTATCTATCTGTCAAATAAATAAAATCTTTAAAAAAAAAAATTAGTTTATCATTACTTATTATAGGTGTTATTTTGATCATACTTAATATTACAGAAACTGGGGATGCCGGGGCAGCTCAGTCGGTTAGGCGTCTGCCTTCAGCTCAGGTCATGATCCCAGAGTCCTGGGATCAAGTCCCGCATCAGGCTCCCTGCTTCTCCTACCTGCCGCTGCCCCCTGCTTGTGCTTTCTCTCTCTCTCTGACAAATAATAAAATCTTAAAAAATAGAAGTTATAGAAACTGTTCTTTTAATATTACTTGCCACATTGTAGTAGTTATATGTAAATGAACTGAAGCAAAGATAAAAACTTTACAATGCAAATGAAGATAAGCAGTCAGGATCTGTTTCTGATTTTAATATAAGTATTGAGTAATTCACATTCAAAAACTAGAAGTCAGGATGTGTCTGAATGCCAGGGCTTCAAAATCAATACAATTCTGTAAAGTAAAAAAGGTAAACTATTAGAACAAAGCTGAACTTAGAAGCCTACATTCTTCAGTTAACTTGTAAGAATTGGCTTATCTATGGCAGAAATGAATCTGTATTTGTAAATGCTAGACTGCTAACCGCTACTTTTAGCATACCCACATTGCTTTTCCTGTCAGTGAACCACATAATTGGAAATTGGAATAAGTATGTTCAGGCTGTTGCCATTTTTTTTTTTTTTTTTTACTGATAAAAATAACTTGAGAAGGCCCATACCAAATGGTGGTCTGTTTTTCTTTTCACTTAAAGACCTCTTGCCTATTGGATTGAATTTGAATATACCAGTTAGGAAGGTTCATCATCAGTTATGACCTACTGATACAAACTTGCTGGGATGGCTCCAAGTGGTGGATGGTTTTAAAAGAAGGTGCAGGCAGGGGGTTTGTGGCCTTACTTCCTTGTAAGGTAATTAGATATTTTTCTCCGCTGAACTGTAAAAGACACCTTAGAGACCCAAGCATAGAATTGGAAAGAGCAAGTTACTGTCTAGAACACGCTTCTCAGACATTAAGATGCTATGAATCTCTACCTCAGGGCCTTATTAAAACGCAAATTCTGATGGTAGTGGCCAGGAGCTAGAGGATGGTGGGAATGCAGAATTATTTAAAGGTATAGAGTTTCAGTTTTGCAAGATGAAAAGAGTTCTGGAGACTGTACAACATTGTCAATGTACCTGAAGTTACTGAACTGTATGTTGTTGTTTTTTAAGATTTTATTTATTTATTTGACAGAGACACAGCGAGAGAGGGAACACAAGCAGGGGTAGTGGGAGAGAGAGAAGCAGGCTTCCCGCGGAGTAGGGAGCCCAATGTAGGGCTCGATCTCAGGACCGTGGGATCATGACCTGAGCAGAAGGCAGATGCTTAACGACTGAGCCACCCAGGCGCCCCCTGAACCGTAGGTTTGTAATTAGTTAAGACAGTACGTTTTATGTTAGATGTATTTTACCACAATTAAAAAAAATTCTCTGAGGGAGAATTTTTAAATTCTTAAAGGGAGGAGCTGCTCAATGGGTTCTGTGTTGTTGAATGGATTTCTGATCTTTTCAGGATCTTTTCAGTGACTGTGTGGAGGCTAGCATGCCTCCCCATCCCCACCAACATACACAGTATTTGACCACAAGGACAGAAAGAAGAACCTTTGCTGTGTCAAGCATCAAAAGGAAGGAAGAAAGGAAGGAAGGTGAGGAAAGGGAGATGGGAAGGAAAAAGAGGAAAGGGAAGGAAAAAGGAGAGGAAAGGAAAAAGGAAGAAAAGAAAGAAAAGATTCTGAGGCATTTGGTTTGGGGTGGGGCCTGAGATTTTACATTTCTCACAAGTTACTAGGTGATACCATTGCTGCTCATGCACAGACTACACTGAGTAGCAGGGCTCTGGATAACTGAGCTACTGAATTCTGGGAGCAACTGAAGAACTGTTGGTGTTCCATCTGACCTAAGTAGTTACTCCATTCCAGTCCATTCTATACTGTTCCCCATCAGTCTCAAAATGAGAAGTCTGCCTTTCACACATTGCATTTTACTACATATTTCCAGGCAGAATTAGAATGTGGGAATAAACTACAATGGGACAAATTAGAGAAATGAGCTGAGATAGCTCAGGAGAGCTTAACATTATGCAATTTCATGCACAAAATTGCCATCCAAATTACTACAGAGAATAAAAGGTTTCTACAGGTTTACAAAGCAGTTGATCAAAGGAAGAATTAAAGGAAATATTAATGTGTCAAATCAATTATTAGGCTGGCTGTTCTGGCTCAGAAAACTTGTCTCAAATTAATCAATGAAAAATCTTCATGAGCACAAATACTATAAAGTACTTTAAATGTGTCCAAGATTTTTAAAACTTAATTATTCTCATTGTTTGACAACATTTGAGTTGAAAGAGACCAAGTTTTGTCCTAGCAGTTTATGGTGGGTACTTGCTGAATATACTGTTCAGTGTTCTATCCCTTAAGCAAACCAATATACCCTAGTTTTCTTTGGGAAAGTAACATTAACATAAAAGAAATCAGGAATTGTGTATAAGCTAAAGAAGTTACAAGCTCAAAAAGTCTGTTGAATATAATAAATAGTCATTATTGTTGGGCCCCACATTAGGATGGAGCGAAGACCCTCATGTTTGCCTGAACTGCAGCAGTGGGCCAAAACCCCTACAGAGGTGAGTTGTCTAGCAAGTATTACTTTTTCATCCCTTATAATTTTCTCTTAACCAATTTGATCTGTTGGCACTGTACCTTTGCTTCTGGTAAACATGGTCCAAACACCTCCAACAAAAGTCTCTCTTCTTTTACTGCTTTTTCAAAGTCTGCAAAAGATATTTTGCCATCGTTGTCATAATCCTAGAGAGGAAGGTGATTTCTTGATAAATGATAGTTTTTAATTTTGCCTGGAAAATAACTCTTTGCCAAGGAAAATTATTAGTTACACTTCTGTGGACACTACTTACATAAATCAAAAGGTACTTTTTATCAAGGCTACTTATCTTATTCCTGTAAGTCTGTTTGGAATACCTGGTATTATGGGCTGAATGTTTGTGTCCCTCCTGCCTCCGAATTCACACGTTAAAGCCCCCAGTGTGATGATTTTGAAGGTGGGGTCTTTGGGAGGTAATTAGATTTGGATGTCTTGAAGGTGGAGCCCCCAAGATATAATTACTATCCATGTAAGTGGAGAGAGACCAGAGCTCCCTCTTTCTGCCATGTGAGGACACATTGAAGTGGTGGCTGTCTACAAGCCAGAAGAGAGCCCTCACCATGGAAATGAATCAACTGGCACCTTATCTTGGATTTCCCAGTCTCAGGACTTTTTAAAATTTTATTTTTAAGTAATCTCTACACTGAACATGGGGCTTGAACTTACAACCCTGAGATCAAAAGTTGCATACTCTACCAATTGAGCCAGCCTGATGCACCCCCCCCAACCCCGCAGTCTCAGGATTTTGAGAAATACATTCCTGCTTAAGTCACCCACTCTGGTATTTTGTTATAGCAGTCTAAGAGGACTAAGACACCTGAGTTACTTTAGATACATAAAATACAGCCCTGTCCTTAAAAGACTTGCACTCTAATTGGGGGAATAAGACAAAAAATTAGAGGACACATATTATTATATTGCTACTTTTGTGATAAAAACAGTGCCATAGGGCATAGATTTTCAAGTTTAATTTGTAGTAGTAGAACTTGTTCCTCAAAGGATCTCTGACTTGGGAGCCCATTATGTGAAAACGATAAAAGTGAAGTTGCTCAGGTAAGGAGCAAGGCACTGAGAGCAGTAACAGTTCAGGATGGACTAGAATCATGAGAAGATGCTTGCCGACCACTGGGAGGTCTTTCAGGATGGTTGAGATGGCCTTTAGGTAGCCAGAGAGATATGGGGAGGAAATGCAGACGAATGGCTCAACCTGAATTCTGACAATATGAGGGAGTGTAAGTCAGGAAGAAGACAGACCTGCCTGGAGCGTTAATGACAGGGACTATGGGAGATTAAACATAGGGAGACCATGTATGTAAATTATAAATGCCTTTACTTAATTGAATTTGGGTTTGATTTGATGGGCTCTTGTTTTTTCACTCTGGGCATAACTAAATCAGGGTTGCTGAGAGTCTAACTTAGAGAAAGGTTTGAATAATTATCAGAAAAAATTCACTCCATAATACTCCCTTTCAAAAAAGAAGGGAGTGGGTTTAGTATTGGGGAACATACTATCTCTCAAGAAGTCTACCCTCAGCCCTAGCAGCAGCTAGTGAGAGTATCTCTAATGGAAGAAGATATGCTAGAGTCTGTGTTAGCTGAATGTGAGACTCAGGAGCCCCCATCATCTATTTCCTTCCCGATCCGCTGAAGAGTAATGGAGGTGAGCTGGGTCCAGGCTGCCTCAGAGTGACAAATTTTCACCGGTATCCAGGATAGGGTCATAGTAAGAAAAGAAGAGAAATTACTATGTTCATAATAAAGTGGTACTACTGGTTTCATTGAAAGAATTCTGCACCCCATTTTCTAGTGTGACCTTGGGTAAACCTATTTGTACTTCAGTTTTCTCATCTGTAAAATAGAGATCGTAATTTCTACTACATAGGGTTGTTTTAAGGTTAAAATGAGTTCATATATTAAAGTTCTGTGAAGGGCCTGGCATATAGTAAGTACTCTATAAGGGAAAACTATTTCAATTATTATGTTATCTTGTTACTGTGTTTCGATGGATTGGAGGGTGAGGGTCATGAAGACAGATGAGAGTAGCATCCCATTTTACACAAATCAAATCTGCCGCACTACCACCCACACATTAATGAGGTTTTACGGATAGTAAAACATTTTAAACTAATTAACATTCATTTTGTGTGGTGATTCATTTATTTATTTAATTTTTTTTTTTTTTTTTAAGATTTTATTTATTTATTTGACAGAGAGAGACACAACGGGAGAGGGAACACAAGCAGGGGGAGTGGGAGAGGGAGAAGCAGGCTTCCTGCCGAGCAGGGAGCCCAATGTGGGCTCGATCCCAGGACCCTGGGATCACGACCCGAGCCGAGCCGAAGGCAGACGCTTAACGACTGAGCCACCCAGGCACCCCGCGGTGATTCATTTAATCACCCAGCCATTCCATAAGTATTTACTGAGCACCCACTATCAGCCAGGCATTGTTCTAGGCAATGGATGGAGCAGAAAACAAACAAACACAAAAATCCCTTGCCCTCGTAAAGGTTGCTATCATTATAGAGGGACATAAATCATTTCTTTGTCTTTAGCTTTCTCTAACATCTGCTTGATTGGATATAATAAGTTATAGGTTTTCATTCTTACCATTTTCTTCAGTGTTATATCTACCAACTCTTTTATTCCTTCATCACTCTCTTCTTCAGATGACTGTTGGCATAGACTGTTCTTCAACATGTCAAATATCTCTTCTCGAGAAATGTAACCGTCACCATTCAAATAGTAAACTTCAAAACAGACTGTCCAAAGCACAAGAAATTTAAAGACTTGGATAAGAACAGTTAAAATATCACTAGTCTTCCCCTTAGTTATTTCAATATATAGTTTTTTAAAAGATAAAAACAATTTATACAGTCTGTAATTATTGGTCCATATGATAGAGAGATTTTAAAATAAAGCACCCTTTATTATACTTCTTTCCACAGGATTAAATCCCCCCTTGGATGTGGATTTTGAAAGTGAGAGTTCAAAAATGTTATGAAACCTGAAACCATGAAATTCCTAGAAGACAAGAGGAACAAAGCTCCTTGGCATGGGTCTTGGTAATGGTTTCATGGCTATGACACCAAAAGCACAAGCAACAAAATAAAAAATAAACAAATGGGACTATATCAAACTAAAAAGCTTCTGCACAGTAAAAGAAACCATCAACAAATGAAAAGACAATCTGTGGAATGGGAAAAAAATACTTGCAAACCATATCAGATAAGGTGTTAACATCCAAAATATATTTTTTATTTTTTTAACATATTCATTTTTTTATTATGTTATGTTAATCATCATACATTACATCATTAGTTTTTGATGTAGTGTTCCATGATTCATTATTTGCATATAACACGCATAGAACACGTATAACAGTGCTCCAATAACTCCTACAATTCAATAGCAAAAAACCCCAACCCAATTAAAAAGTGAGCAAAGGACCTCAATAGACATTTCTGCAAAGAAGATAAATGAAAAGTCAACAGGTACAAGAAAAGATGCTCAACATCACTAGTCATTAGGGAAATGGAAATTAAAACTGTAATGAGATATCGCCTCATGCCTGTGAGAAAGGCCATCATCAAAAAGAGAGTAAGAGAGAGAACAAATGCTAGTGTGGATGTGGAGGAAAGGGAACCCTAGTTTACTGCTGGTGGGATTATAAACCAGTGCAGCCGTTCTGGAACATAGTACGGAGGATCCTCATAAAACTAAAAATAGAACTGCCCTGTAATCCAGCAATTCTACTTCTGGGAATATATCCAAAGGTAATGAAAACACTAACTCAAAAAGATATCTGCACCCCCATGATCATAGCAGCACTATGTACAATAACCAAGGTTTGGAAACGATCTAAGTTTCTATCGATCAATGAATGGAAAAGGAAGTCGTGGTATATATATATTCATGTAATGGAATATTATTCAGCCATTTAAAAAATGAGGAAATCCTATAATTTGTAACCACACAGATGGGCCTTGAAGGCAGTATCCTAAGTAAAATAATTAAGACAGGGAAAGACAATACTTTGTAATCTCCCTTATATATGGAATCTGAAAAAACAAAAACCAAACCAAACCAAACCAAAGAAACAAAAAACCTGACAACAAACTCATAGAAAAAGAGATCAGCCTTGTGGTGACCAGAGGTGAGAGGGTTGAAGGAAGGGAAATTAGAGGAAGATGGTCAAAAGGTACAAACTTCCCATATAAGTTAAATAAGTACTAGGGATGTAATGTACAACATGATGACTAGAGCTAACAATGATGTATGATATAGAGAAAAGTTGTTCAGAGAGTGAATTCTAAGAGTTCTTGTCACAGGGAGAATTTTTTTTCCTTTCTTGTCTTTTTTTCCTTTTTCTTGTCTCTTATTGTATCTGTATGAGAAGATGGATGTTAGCTGAACCTATTGTAGTAATCATTTCACAATATATGTAAATCAAACCAATCTGTATTGCCTTGAACTTATACAGTGATGTGTGTCAATTATTTCTCAATAAAACCAGAAAAATAAAAGAATTTGGGGGGAAAAAGTGGTTGACAAAGATGCAGATTCCTGTTCATGTGTACCTAGATTGGAGAGGACACAGTTACAGATTGGATATCAGAATGAACTTTGTAAGAAACATTTGATATTAAGTCTTCATAATTAAAAAACAAATAAACAGAACTCCTCATTTAGATAGCACAAAGTAAGAGTCCAGATTCCTTGGTCGTAGCAGCTCAGGGAATGCTATTTTAAAATGTTCTCCAGGTAAAACTATTTTAAAATGTTCCCTAGGTAAAACTGATGTAGCCAGTTGAAACCATTCCTCAATCCATATTGGAGAATCAGTCCTATAGGTACTTTACAACTAACTGTATTTTAAAAAGCAGCTCATTGGAAATTTACATATCTAAGATGTCTTGGCATTTGTGAAGTATATTTAAATATACTACATTATCTTAGTTGGTGACTTCTTGTTTCTGGTATACTTGAAATCAACGAGCTTAATTTAGGTACTTGAAACTATTTATAAACAAATAATATCTTCTGTATTCAAAGAGATATCAATTCCAACTTGTAAATATTAACAGTCTTTTTCCTCTTCTCTGTCCCCACTGTTCTTCTCTGTCCCCACTGTTATTTCCTAGATAACTTCAACAATCTCCTAAGAAACTCCCCTGCTTCCAACCAATATTTCATTATTTATTATAGTTGATTCACAGCTGTCCTCTTAGGGAGTGTTGGGGAGAGGAAACTGATCCTATTTGCTAAGACTCAACTTTAATGATATACGTTCAACTTACCTTATTAGCCCCACATCTCGATACCAATTTTCCCAACTCAACATGCTCAGTAAGACATCCATGCTTTTATTCATACTGTTCCTACTGTCTAGCATGGTCTTCTTTCTAGTTTTTTTCTGCTCAAGATTTACAAGAACCAACTGAAAGGCTAGTTATTCTGTGAAAGTGTCTTCTGATCTACAAGATCCACTAGAAAGAACTTTCTCATCACTCCCATATAGTATTTTGAAAATACATAGATTTCTAAGCAATCCCATTATATTGTGGTTATTAGTTTATATGTATTAGGTGACCCAGAACTGAGCATCTCCTCTAGTAGAATGATTTCCTGGGTCTTAGGTAAAACACAAATAAAAGAAGAATTTTATAGACTTTGAAAAAATGTGATGAAATTGCAATAAAGGAGATATATAAAAATATTTTTAAAGTAAACTCTACACTCAATGTGGGGCTCAAACTCACAACCCAGAGATCAAGAGTTGCATTCTCTACTGACTGAGCCAGCCAGGTGCCCCTGGAGATAAATATTTAAACCTATGATCATTCAATACATATATACTCGTGTATACATACGTGTGTGTATGTATCTCAATATTATGATTCTCTTCTTAAATAGAGTATAAAAACTAAGTACAAACTTGATTACATAACTGACAAAGAACACTTTTCAATATATTTGGGTAGTGAGTCTCTCATCCCCTTGGAGCCTGCCTATTGCACTATCCAAAATGATCTCTGTCTCCCTGGAGAGTGACTTCCATGACTTCCAACCATTCATTCATGCCACAGATGACCTTCCTCAGGTGCTAAACATACAGTAAAGAAGGAGCTTTTCTGGAGTTTGTAATCTAGCTAAATGTTTTGGCAAAAGCAATAGAACCAGGTATAAAATTCCAGAGTATCAGATTAACTGTGCCTTTTTTGTTGAGGTACTTTAATCCATAGCACACATGCAGCACAATCCTATGAGAAGTAATATTTTCCCCAAGTTAACATATCCTGAAATGTATATGAAACATTTTTAGGAAAAGGGATTGGAGGAGGAAAATTCTTTGACAGTGTGACGCTATTCACTCAAGTATAACAACACTGGAGTCCCAGTCATTTTCCCTATGTACCAGCACAAGAATTTACATCCATGAAAACTTAAGCTTTTCACTTCTCAGTGAGACTTTTGTATAAGAAAGCTGCAACAAACTTAAGTGGCAACTATATTTAAATGTTACCCCCGTGAAAAATTAGACTGGAGAAAAGCTAAGGGAAAAAAAAGCCCCAACACAGGGGCACCTGGCTGGCTCAGTGGAGCATGCAACTCTTGATCTTGGGGTTGTGAGTTCAAGCCCAACGTTGGGTGTAGAGATTACTTCAAAATAAAATCTTAAAAAAGAAAACCCACATAATGTTGTATGTCAATTTCACTTCCATAAAAATAATTAAGAAAAAACCCCCACAAAACAGAGAAACAAAAATCATAAATACCAGAGAAAGTTGGTGGTTTTTAAAATTGTTGCTATTGTTTAAAAAATGTGTGTTTAATGTAGGGATCTTCTTTTCCACGTCCCAAATCCAAATTCAAGTGGAAGAACAAGGGACAAAAATTTGCTTACTTACTCAGAACACCACAGCCTTTTCTTAAGCAATTTGACACTTTAAGCAATTTTGACACTTTAAGCAATTGTTCCCTTGAAGAATGCCATTTAAAACTGTTCCTATTCTCTTTCCAGTTTCCTCACCCCAAAACCTGGCCCCAGAGGTATAAAACATAGAAAATATACATCACACCAATGGTACAGTGAAGTGAGGCCAGAGCTATTTATTTTTAGGCAAAATTGTGAATAGGGAAATTTTTGTCTTTGGAATTCCTAACATTCCTGTCCTGTAGGAAACTCCTGTAACCCTTCTCCCTGTGGGCCTGTGGGCATTCTTTGTCCTCAACCTTCTTCCCTCTCTTCACTCATCTACACAAATTCTAACACTAGAGTATTGATGTCTGATGGTTAATGTGTGTTTCATCTTGTTTGTTTGTTTTTTAAGATTCTATTTATTTGTCAGAGAGAGACACAGCAAGAGAGGGAACACAAGCAGGGGGAGTGGGAGAGGGAGAAGCAGGCTTCCCGTGGAGCAGGGAGCCCTATGCGGGGCTCGATCCCAGGACCCTGGGATCATGACCCGAGCCGAAGGCACTTAACGACTAAGCCACCCAGGCGCCCCTACGTTTCATCTTGTTTTGTGTCAATCCCTCACATATATTTTCTTTGATCAAGAGACAAGGAACGGCCTCACTGTGACTTATGCACTGCCCTATATCAAGGTCCATTTCCTGCTGAGCCCAGAGGCAGCCACAAAAATCTTGTTGGCTGATTAGAGTTGGCATAAGCCCTGACCTTGACTTGCTGCTCTTGGCCTGGGCCTTAAGCCAAAGAGTTGTCCTGGTGACATTTAGGCATTATAGACCCAGTGAAGGAAGTGTTTGGGGTTCCTGGGTCTAGGGACTCTCCCATCAAACAGGCCACCCATTTCATGTTTTGATTTTTTTTAAAGCTGTCATGAACTATTTTTGAAAGGTTGCTATAGAGAACATGGATTTTGTATTTTTAAAAAGTGTTTAGCATTCATTAAATACAAAATTGACAATGTATATTACTAAGTCAGTAATCACATATAGAAATCTTACACTTAAGCTTTTCTTCAAAAGTCCCTCGAAGAAACACTGATAATCCTTTAACCCACTCTTTCGCCTTTATGCAGTTATCATTGTCTTTGTCAAATGCAAAAAATACTGAAAGAAAAATACCATAGAAGCATATTGTAATTTACAACTATTTTATAATTCAAAAGTATATAGTATATATGAAAAGATTTTTAAAACTTTCCTCCAAAACAAAAACAAAAAAACACACCAAAAAACTTTTCTCCCAAATTGAGGGGAAAAAAAGGTTTTGGCACAGTCTTTCTTAAAAGTCAAAATTACTAGGAATATGTTTCCCCCCGATTTTTGTAGAAAGAAAAGAGTAATTCTCCTTCATGATCAATGATGAACTTCACTTGTGATGTTTTGTACAGTTACTATGAGCCAAGAAGAGCAACAGTGGAGCTAATCAAGGTGATGATAATTTTTATTTTAAAAAGAGTGGCAGGGGTGCCTGGGTGGCTAGTTGAGCAGTCAACTCTTGATTTTGGCTCAGGTCATGATCTCAGGGTCCTGGGATCGAGCCCTGCATCGGGTTCGTGCTCAGTGGGGAGTCTACTTGAGATTCTTTCTCTCTCCTCTCCCTCTGCTCCTCCCCCTGCTTATGCTCTGTCTCTTTCTCTCTCTCTAAAATAAATAATCTTTAAAAGATAAATAAATAAAAAAGAGGCAAAGGGGGCACCTGGCTTAGGTCAGTTGGTAGAGCATGTGACTCTTGATCTTGGGGTCATGAATTTGAGCCCCACGTTGAATGTAGAGATTACTTTAAAAAATAATAATAATCGGGGCGCCTGGGTGGCTCAGTCGGTTAAGCAACTGCCTTCAGCTTGGGTCATGATCCCAGGGTCCTGGGATCAAGCCCCACATCGGGCTCCCTGCTCAGCAGAGAGCCTGCTTCTCCCTCTCCCTCTGCCTGCCGCTCTGCCTACTTGTGCTCTCTCTCTGTGTCAAATAAATAAATAAAATCTTTAAAAGATAGTAATAATATAAATAAAATCCATTTAAAAAGAGTGGCAAAATTCTGTTCTAAACAGTCTGTATAAATACATAAAGATAAATTACTAAAATAACATTATTTTTAAAATTACCAATGAAATCTTAATATCCTATAGAAAATAAAGTGTTATTGACTCTCTTAGGGGTGATGTTGATTATTTTGATTATGATTATGGTTTCAAGGTATACACCTACATCAAAACTTATCAAATTGAACACTAAAAATTTGTTAATGAAACTGGATCACATTAAATAATTTCCTATTTCTTTTTTTTTTTTTTAAAGATTTTATTTATTTATTTGACAGAGAGAGACACAGCGAGAGAGGGAACACAAGCAGGGGGAGTGGGAGAGGGAGAAGCAGGCTTCCCGCGGAGCAGGGAGCCCGATGCGGGGCTTGATCCCAGGACCCCGGGATCATGACCTGAGCCGAAGGCAGACGCCTAACGACTGAGCCACCCAGGCGCCCCAATAATTTCCTATTTCAAATATAAGATCTTGTCTTTTATTTTTTTTAGTATAATGAGTAATTATCATTTTTTGTACTGACACAGTATTTTTAGGAGGAAAAAGAAGTCATTTAAAAGTTTACATGTCTACAGCATATGGATCCAAAGACATCATGAATAAAAAGCCATATGCTTAACTTTAAAAAAAAATATTGCCAGCTTATTTAGTTCATTACTGGTTTATTTCTCAAAGTGGTACAACTATGAGATAAGAAATTCTGAGTTTTTATTAAAAACCATCCTCACAATCAAATCAACCTTTGTTTTATATTGGCAGTCTTACCACAATTAAGTCTTTCTAGCTTGGCTTTGAAAAATTCAAGGGGCGCCTGGGTGGCTCAATTGGCTGAGCATCCAACTCTTGATTTTTGGCTCAGGTCATGATCTGGGGGTTGTGGGATCAGCCCCCAAGCTCCTGGAGGGGCTCTGTGCTCAGCACAGAATCTGCTTGTCCCTTTCCCTCTCCTCTGCGCACCCCCGGCTTGCACTCTCCCTCTAAATCAATCAATCTTTTATTTTTTTAAAAGATTTTATTTATTTATTTGACAGAGAGATAGCGAGAGCAGGAGCACAAGCAGGGGGAGTGGGAGAGGGAGAAGCAGGCTTCCCGCCGAGCAGGGAGCCCAATGCGCGGCTCGATCCCAGGACCCTGGGATCATGACCTGAGCTGAGGGCAGATGCTTAATGACTGAGCCACCCAGGCGCCTCTCAATCTATTTTTGTAAAAAAATTCGGAATCTTTGATGACAACTGAATACATATATATATATATATAAATTTGCCATATATGTCATTACAAATATACATTTGCCACATATTAATATATACACCATATATATTGCCATCTCAGCTTGGCTCATTTCAATTTCTTAAGACTCTTACCCCTATTCATTAGCATATCATCAGTCATTCCAAATATGCTGTGCAGGATCGCTCGAAAAGCATTACGATCTAGTCCAGAATTATTAAGTCTTACATTAGCTCTTTCCACCAAGCTGTGAAAAAGTCTTAGGAGACACTCTACTTCACTTGTTTTGACTGCAAAATAAAAATATGAATAAATACAGCTTAGACTTAGTCCTTGAGTACTCCAATCTAATAAAAAATATTTTACTAAGCAGCTCTTTTGTTCCTATGGTGCTAGATGCTCTAGCAATTAAAAAGTATGACATGACTTGTTACTTGAGGGTTTACCTTTCTGGGTGTCACCCAGAAGTCTCATAAGATACTGTGTAAATTAAAAATTTTGTAATATTAACACTCACCATTATAGACATGTAAAGAAAGAGAAATCAATGTGGGAAAGAGGAGTTGGGCCATTTTCATGGGAGCAGACTTTGAACAGAGACTTGAAGAATGCATAGCATTTATACAGGAAGGAATGTGTTGGGGGTAGTACAATAGAGAATTACAGGGAGAGAGAACATGGGTAAAGGAAAGAAGTAGAATTGCAGTTGGGTTTGAACATGCTTTATTGGGAGCACAGCAAGTTGAGAAGAGAAAAAACAAGATTGAAGACGATGGGCTAATGGCAGACGGCCTTGAAAGCCTAGTCAGAAAATTAACATTTACAGTTGACTTGAACCACATAGGTTCAAACTGCGGGTCCACTTAAATGTGATTAAAAAAAAAAAAACATAGTGCAGTACTGTAAATATATTTTCTCTTATGATTTTCTTTCTTTTTTTGAGAGAGAGAATGGGGAGGGGTAGAGGGAGAGAACCTTAAGACTCCATGCCCAGTGCCTGATCTCACAACCCTGTGATCACGATCTGAAGTGAAATCAAGAGTTGGAGCTTAACTGACTGAGCCACCCAGGTGCCCCATTCTCTCAGGATCTTCTTAATAACATTTTCTTTTCTTTAGCTTACTTTAAGTATACAGTATATAATACATAAAATGTATGAGATATGTTAGTTGACTCTAAGTAAGTTCAGTAATAGGCTATTGGTAGTTAAGGTTTTGGGGAGTCAAACATGGATTTTCAACTGTGTGGGGTTGGTGCTTGTATCCTCCAGGTTGTTCAAGCATCAGCTGCATTTTACTGGAGCAGTGATTTTCTCATGGACCATCTTTGGACCATCTGTATGAGAGAATCAACCCCCTCTCCATTGTTTGTTTAATCCAGATTCCCATGTCTTGCCCCAGACCTACCAAGTCAGAATCACTAAGATCAGGCCCAGGAATTTGCTTTTATTTTTTATTTATTTTAAGAGTTTTATTTATTTGAGAGAGAGCACAAGTGGGGAGGATGGGCAGGGGAGAGCAGGCTCTCCACTGAACAGAGAGCCTGACACAGGGGTGATCCCAGGACCCCGGGACCATGACCTGAGCCGAAGGCAGATGCTTAATTGACTGAGCCACGCAGGTGCCCAGGAATTAGCTTTTAAACAAGAGGTGGGTTGACTCTTCTAGGCCCTAAGGGTTGAGAAGTGGTTTAGGAAAATTCATCTGGCAAAATTATATTTAAGGGAAAAACTGGAAGCATAGAAGCCAGGCTTGGAAGTGATAGGGCTTTGGTTAGGGAGGTGGAAATGAGGTCAGAAAGTGGGAAGGGGCTGGAGATGTTAATTTTCAAACAGAAATTTCCAATATTCATACACTCAGGTTTCACTCTAGACTTAGGAAAAGGGTATTTTTAAAGAAGTGCATGGATGATTCTAATGCATTGTCACGACTGAAAATTAAAGGATTAGATTTAGCGGGTTGGGGGTACTAAAGTTCCTGGATTGTACTTCCATTTCTTACCTAAACAGCGGACTTAGACAAGTCATATAGCTTCCCTATGGCTCAGGGTCCTCACCTATGAAACTGGGTATTGTCCTAGATGATCTCTGAGATTCTTCCAGTTTCTAAAAGCCCAATTCTATGAATCAAAGATTATTTGAAAGAACCAGAAGAGTTAGGAAGGAAAGCTGGTTACTATTTCTTTTTTCTCCTCCAACCCCCTCCTCCTTTTTTTTTCTTTTTATAGGGATAAATTTTAGATGCTGTCTTTGAGATGATTTCATGTCACCCAACTGAAATCAATGACAACACATAGCACATACGCAGTTTGCAACATTAGGGTTTCTACAATGGTCAGAATGATTTGGTTCTTAGGGGAATGGTTGACAAGTCTGAAGAATAAGCAATTACAAAGGTACCTATTAACACTGTTTTATGAACTGAATTAGATTCTCAGGCTCCACAGTGTAACTATAAGTCCTGAAATATGACATAAAGGTCATTTTTATCCACCTAATAGGCATTAATTAAGAGTCCCCTGTCAACCGGGCATTGAATACACCATGCTTCCTGCCCACCAAGTTGTTACACTTTGGCTAAGATATAAAAAAGTGCAACAAGGTATGACAAGCACTATGATTGATGGTGTTTGGCGGTGACCCAAAGGAAGGAATAATCAACTGGGGGAGGCAGTAGGAAATTAAAAGTCCCAAGGAGGTATCACTTGAGCTAAGGCCTGCCAAAGATAAGCATTTGCCAGAGGAGGCAGCTTGGAGTTATGTTCTGAGAGCTAGCTGCAGAGGATTTGGTGGGGCTAGGTAGCAGACTTGACTTTACAGACAATGAGGAGTTTCTGAAAAATTTTGGCTGGCAAGTTAACAGGATCATATTTGCACTTAAGGGAGAACACTTTGGTAGTAGATTCTTGAAACTACCTTATGAATGGTGAGTTCAGATGTGACAAGGTTGTCTTCCTAAAGACAATTTTAACAGTCCATCCCATCCCATTTGCTCTTTGTACAATGACTTTGATACTCCTCTGAGAGATGGAGTCTCTCCTTTACTTGAACCTAGGAGGGGGTAGGGTGTGTGTGTGGGTGTGGGCGTGTGGGTGTGTGTGTGTGACTGTTTCAATCAGTAGAGCTCAGTGGAAATGAGGCAATGTGACTTTTCAAGGCTAGGTCACAGAAGGGGATGCAGCTGCTCTGAGGACAAAAACTTGAAAAGCCTTCTTCTTTTTTTTGAATGTGAAGAAAAAGGAAGCTCAAGTGTGGATGCACTATATGGAGTGCAGAGTATGTTAATGATTGCCTGAAAGTAGTCCTGCTCAATTCTGAGGGAGAGAATTATCAATGAGTGGAAATGTTAGCACGAACAACGTGAAAATGGATCCCTGAGGAAAGGGAGGTTTTGGGTCAGGAGCTGCTCTGAGTCGAATACTAACAAGTCATTCAACACAGCTATCAGGGATTTTAGGCACAATCTTTAGCAGGTAATAACTTTTTCTGGGTTTTATCCATGTAAGCTCACATTTCATTATACCTAAAGACCTTACTCATGAGGTCAAGGAACCATTGTAAAAGATATGTGAAAGATCATAGGTAATGAGAATGGTGAGGTGCTAGAGATTGGCCCATGTTATTTAACTTCATTTTGGAATAATTTTAGATTCACATAAGAGAAGCAATGATGATAGTTTGCATAAAATCTTCACTCTCTCCCTGTTAACACCTTACAGAACCGTGGTACAGTTGTCAAAACAAATACACTAACATTGGCACATTAACTGAACTATAGATTTTACCAGTTTCCCACTAATGTCCCTTTTGGGGAGGTTCCAGAATCCAAGCCAGGATATACTTGGTTGTCATGTCTCTTCAAATCTGTTAGTTTTCAGTCTTTCATGACCTTGAGATTTTATTTTGCATAATGTTCCTCAATTTGTGTGTGCCTAATGTTTTTGTCATGATTAGACTGTGGCTAGGTGTTTTGGGGAAGAATACTAGAGATAAATTGCTGTTCTCACATGTCGGGGGGGGTATATATTAACAAGGTTAACTGCTGATAACTTCGATCACTTGGTTTAGCTAATCTACAGGGTTCTCCACTGTAGTTACTATTTTCCCTTTCCACAGTCTATTCTTTAGAAGGCAATTGCTCAAGTAAAATGGAATTCCACTTCTTGGGAAGGAGTATTGATACTATTATTTGGAGTTCTCCTGAAAGGACGAGGTCTTTTCCCATTTACTTACTCATTTATATCACTATGGGGGGGGGGGTGCAGTCACATATACTTATTTTATAATAATTGTTAATTTTCTCGCTTAAATTATTCCAGTTTTGGCCACTAGAGTTTGAGTCGGCTCTTGTATGTTTCACATAGCACAATCCATTGGCTTTTTCACCTCTTTGCTTCCTGGCCCTACTTGCCAGGTCAATCTCATATCACCCCTGGGTGAGATAACAGGAAATACATATATTGGTCCCTGCCCCTGGTTCCTGACACATAGCTCTCAAAACTCTTGGGATTTCCTAACTCATCTGAGCAGTAGGAGTATCTTTTGTTCAATTTAGTCATTGACCCTGGTTCTCAACACAAAGCTCCTAAATCCCTTGGAACATCAGGGGTGATAGGAATCTTTTGTTCTAATGAGTGACTGCTGGTGGCTCCTGGATGGGAGCGGGTCACCAGAAAGACCAAACCATTGATTGAAAGCCTGGAACTTTCAGCCCCACCCCCTATTCTGCAGAGGGGCTGGATATTGAGTTAATGATCTATGATGGCTATGTGATGAAACCTTTATGAAGACCCCCAAAGTAGTGTTTAGGGAGCTTCTGGGTTGGTGAACATATGATGGTCCTGGGAGAGAGAATGGAAGCTCCATGCCCTTTTCCACACACCTTGCCCTATGCATCTCCTCCACCTGGCTCTTCCTGATTACATCCTTTTATAAGAAAACAGTAATCTATTAAGTAAACTGTTTTCCTCAGTTCTGTGAGCTGCTCTAGCAAATTAATTGGACCTCCAATTTATAACCAGTCAGTCAGAAGTGAAGATAACAACCTGGACTTGTGATGGGCATCTGAAGTGGGAGATAGTCTTGTGGAACTGAACTCAGCCTATGAGATCTGATGCCATCTCAGGTGGTGTCAGGATTAAGAAATTGCTGGGATGTCACAGAAAATTGCTTGCTGGAAAAAACCACAAAGTTGGAGACCAGAAGTGTCAGAAGTGTAAGTGTGGTAGTAATGTCAGAGTAAAAGAGAAACACACAGGTGTAGCATAGGGTTTCCTTTACACTCTGTACAGCTACTTCTTCAAGGAATCCTGGTTCTTTTTATTGGGGACTGGTATTTAGACACCAAGGTCTAGGCACTGGGTGTGCTTGTTACTACCAGGGTATTAATATTTCTAAGCCCAATACATAATAGGGGAGGGTAGAATATTTCTAAGCCCTCTCGGCAGACATAGCTGGAAAATATGTATGTATACTAACCTATGTATGCATACATATTGGCCCATGTTATGTCTCACAAATAAAGTGAAATGCAAATACTGGATTACTAGGTCTATAGATGGTCCTGGGCTAAGTCCCAGAAGAGATGATCAATTGTATTAAAAAATTCATTGGGGTGCCTGGGTGGCTCAGTCGTTAAGTGACTGCCTTAAGCTTAGGTCATGATCCCAGGGTTCTGGGATCAAGCCCCGCATTGGGCTCCCTGCTCCACAGGAGGCCTGCTTCTCCCTCCCCCACTCCCCCTGCTTGTGTTCCCGCTCTATCTCTGTCAAATAAATAAATAAATCTTAAAAAAAAAATTCATCAACACTCAGGGCCTCATGAATTCACAAGGGTATATCATACTGGGTTTAATTTATTTCCTCCTTTTAGTAGGAGTGGATCAGAGAAATGAAGTTCACAAAGTATTTGGATTTTAGCAAGGCATATGAAAAATCTCTTATCCTTGTATTAATTATCTACTCAGCATCCAGGAGTACCAAGCACAATAGTAGGCTCTCAAATAAATGTTTGCTAAATAAATAACCCCTTGTAAGAGAGGTAAAGGAATATACCGGATGAGTCAGGATCCAAAGTAACTTCTTGGCAAAATAATCACTTGAATCAAACAACATGAAATTATTGGGAAGTTTTAAAATTCTTCACTTAGCTTTAAAAAAGTTTTGATCTACTAAGTGTAAAAACTGTGGCTAAACAACAGTATGTGTGAAAAAGACTGGGTCAATTCCTAACTCACTATCAGTCAAGCTGGGATTGCTATTAGGCGGACAGAACTGAAGTTTCATGAAACTAGTGATATATATTGGCTAATTGAATTTTAAACTAAAAAAAAAAAAAAAAAAAATTCTAAGGGAAAGATGGCCACCATGTAGTTAGCAATAGTATTCAAGATTCTAAAGAAGGAAGAAAAAAGTTTGATTTTCTGGGTTTAAAGCACAAGGAAAGGCAATAGATAGTTGAAACCCCTGTAAATTAGTTGTTTCTAAATGACAGGTTTGAAGGCTTAAGTGTAAAAATTAACCTCCAATGTCAGAAATTACCCAGACAATAAATTAGCTAGGTTTCAAATTCTACAGAAACCAAAGAAAGCAAAGACTTAAATACATATACACACACACACACAAAACCAGATTGCCAAGGATGTGTAATGTGCAACTTAATGTGTAAATTTAAAAGAATCAAAAGAAGAGATTGAACTCATAAATATAAAAGAAAAAGGAACTGAAGTTCCACTTGGAAAAGACAATTTTGGTCAGGAATTCTTAAGCTTCACTGTGTCTAATACATGGAGTGAATGATCTGGATGCTTGGCCCCCACTTGCAGATTTTTAAATGTACCTAGGGTGGTATCCAGGAATCTACATTTTCAATACGAATCTTTAGGTAATTCTGATGGTGGAGATACTCCTACCATACTATGAATAAGAGGTACACAGCCAAGATAAACTACAGAATTTGTGGGCCCAATGCTAAGAAAACATGGGACCCTCACTCAAAACATTAATTTTAAGTCAGTGTTAGCAGAGCATTGAACTAAGCGTAGGGCCCTGTCACAATGCATAGGTGACATACCCATAAAGCCACTTATTACGCCCTGAGGTAATGATCTGCCACCCCCACTAGATTAAAGATTTTAAAAATTCTACTTAATTTTAATTTACATTTAAACAGTCACACATCCACTTAAAGAAAATGGGGCGCCTGGCTGGCTTGGTTGCTAAAGCATGCAAAGACTCTTCATCTCAGCGTCCTGAGTTCAAGCCCCACCTTGGGTATAGAGATCACTTCAGTTTTTTTTTTTTAAGTAATAGCCACACATAGCTAGTGGTTACTGTACTGGACAATGCAGCTCTAGCTCTAGAATGTTTTATTCCAGCCAGCTGCCCCAAAACAATCCTTTGAGAGAAGGCGGCCAAGACGGCACTATTTGTTAGCCCTCCCCACACCTACCTAAAGAACCAAATTCCAGGAGCACCTGGTTGGCTCAGTTGGTAGACCATGTGACTCTTGATCTCAGGGCTGTGAACTGGAGCCCCATGTTGGGTGTAGAGATTACTTAAAAATAAAACCTTAAAACAACAGCAACAACGAAATTAAATTCCAGTCATGAGAGGCCAGTGTCTATCCTGGTCTCAACTGAAGGACCTAAGTAGTGAGCCAAATTCAACTTTCATTCTGCACTTAACTATGGGATAGTACTATACAGAATGACCATATGAGTCTAGAATGCTTAACAGTAGCATTAATTTGAGAAATAAAAACTGAGTGCAGGCTCTGGCATCAGACTTACCTGAGTTCTAGTTCTGCCTCCACCAGAAAAGTCCTCTGTAATTTTAGACAATTTAAGACTTGGGTTTCCTCATCTGAAAACATGGAATATACCACCTACCTCACTGAGTTTGAGAATTGGAAGATGAACATAAACCATTTAGCACAGCATTTTCCCAATGAAGAGCTCAATAAAGATGAGTTGTTAGTAATCTGAGTGTAAAATAGTAATCTGGTTACACTGGTGAATAGCTATAGCCTGAACTTTTGATCATAACTTCACATCAAAGCTTTGGAAAGGAACACAACTCATTGCTCTTTTCAAGTAATTGTTAAGTATCTTCTTTGTAGGAGACTATATGGGATATGGGTCTGATCTAGTATTACATATTCATAACCTACAGACTTTCAGAGAATTGCTTTCAAATAACAAATTATGGTATCAAACACACATTTGGGTAGCAGACATTAATGAAAAGTTTCTTTAGGATGGGGAGAGGAGTTAAGATTTTTAAAGTCTGCAAAACTTCCTTTTGAATGTTGTAAAACTCAGGTTGTTCAGAAAACAGCAAATAACAGAAGATAACATATTCAACATTGGTTAAATCTGCCAGATGGATCTCAAGGGTTGTCTGACAGGATTAGAAGAACAGGCCCTAGAAGGGCCTGACGAACTCATGTCGTTTAAAATACACCTGGAGTAAAAGAAAGCTGAATTAAGTCTACAGTGAGATTCTTAGGGTGGTGCCTAATACTAGGACAGCCCCAATAATGAGGTTGTACTAGTGTCTGAACGAAAAGTAAATGCCTCCAAGTCTAAAGACATTCTCAGAATTCTCAAGCAGGACTGCTTGTTGTCATGACCGAGACAAAATATAGACGATTACTTTTTAAGGTCTGTCAGGGCAATCAGGGCAAGGAATCCCCCCAAACCTGTTAATTTTAATAAACACTTGCCATGTGCTATTTCTTCAACATCTAAAATATCTCCTGTAGCTCTAGCAATCCCCTGCCTCTATGGGTTTTGTGCCAGATAACTCAGGGAACTGGTCAGAGTAAATCTTCAGTAGTTTGAAATCTCTTATCAAATTTCAGACTGTAACAGAATCAGTACTTGGCTGGCACATAATCCTTCAGCACTTATGCTGTCAAGTTGTCAAATTACTCTTTCTACATATACAAATATATTTTAGGATTAAAATATTTTAAAATATTAAATATTTCCAGTGTAAGTGCAGGGATCTTGTAAGTTCACTTGTGATCTATTTTTTTAACTGGCCAAAATATTAGAAATTAGAGAAACCCTATTTTGGGGGTTACAAAGAACTTGCTAATGTCAAGTAAGTCTATCAATGTTTCTATTTGATGGAATAAAGATGTTCAGGCAGTGTTGGATGTCTGGTCAGTACTTACAGTTCTTGACGGTATTACTGATGGATTCCACCAGTTTCTTCAGAGTCTTCTGGTCCATGCCAAGTGTGGCTTCAACACAGCGCACAATTCTCAGATACCCTAGTTCCAAGCCTATGTGTCCTGGGTTGCCACTGATTCCAGAGTTCACTACTCTATGCCCAACAGAATGTGACCATGGCAACATTCCAGCAACCACACAGAAGGTTCTCAAGTGATTGAAAAAATATGCAGCCATGGTTGTTACCACTCAATACAAATGCAGTGATTTCATTAATGCTATTGTGATCTGAAATATTACAGCAATCCCAACATTCATGTTTTCTTTAGGGCTAAACACCACTTAAAGTGGTACTTGATATTACTGTCATTTATTTTTCCTCAGCACAAACTGTATAGTTGAAAATGTTTCCTTCCTATCTGAACACATAATTGAGAAATAAGATTATAAAGACCTTATCTTTACACTGAAATAAAGTATTTTCCCAGGCTATAAATAGCTCCTTCAAATATTATAACCTCCTTTAAAAACCCTAACTAAGGGGCGCCCGGGTTGGTTGGGCATCTGGCTCTTGGTTTCGGCTCAGGTCATGATCTCGGGGTTGTGGGATCAAGCCCTGCAATGGGCTCTGCACTCAGTGGGGAGTCTGCTTGAGATTCTTTCCCTACACCACTCCCCCTGCTTGTGCGCACTCTCTCTAAAATGAATAAAGAAACCTTAAAAAAAATTAGAAAATAACTCTAACTAAGCACCCTCTCATGATCTCCAAAGAGAGACTTTAATCTGGGAGCTCCTAGAGAAATGTAAAACCCCATTTATACCCCTCCAACTCCTATCTGACTAACTGTAAGAAAGCATGCTGTGACCATGCCAAAGCTGGCCAAAACGACAACTGTGCTAACTCCCGTCTACTGTCAAATCCCAATACAGAGAACAAACATCTCCTAGTCTGTTTGCTGGCTTTCACTATGGCAAGGCATGAAAATGCACTAAAATGATTTTTAGAATTTAGGACACTACATCCTTATAAATTTTAAATAAAACATAAAAATGAATTTTAAAATAAGACAAACACATCTGAAGAAAAAATCTTTCCAAGAACTTGTCTTTAGGAAATACCAGATGAGTGTTCATTGATTTTAAGTTGAAAACTGGCAATGTTTTAAAAATGTGAAACCTGTCACTTAAGTCTGAAGAGTAACTGTTCTCGATTTCTCCGAGGTTAGTCTACTGTTCTTCATGAAATGAAAGATTATCAGGCAACAGGCTTTTAACACACCCCGACTGAAGGAATATGAACCTATATTCTGGATAAAGTAAATTCAGGACACTCTTATGGTATTTAAAATACCTAAATATACTAAGGGCAACCAAGTGAATCCAAAAAGTACTGGTATAAATTCAATTTTTTGATTCAGACACTCATCAACTTTGTTGCAGTTACCTTGGCATTA